GCTACAGCTCACTGATTGACTGAAATGCAGCAGGAGCTGCAGGTTGTGTCAGTGAGAAAATTAGCATACAGTCACAGATGAGTGACTTCTTGACACTCAGACTTTTTATTCTGCAAAGAGCAATGCTGCTCATCAGTTCTGGGATAAATGTTCAGTTCTGACTGTCTTTCTGTGATCAGGTCATTTTTCAGTCTGTTTAGTTTCTTTTGTGTGAGTCTCTCGGCCACAAGCTTTGATTGCAAAGGCTTGTTTCAGGTTCCAGGTGATTTTGTAATATTAAATAAAAAGGATGATCTTCCTGCACCTCACAGTAACTACAGGTGTTCCACAGGGGTCTATTCTAACCCTCATTTTATGTTCTCTTATAGTAAGAAAACTTTGAGCTTCATCCAATGATAGATTGTCATTGTCACTGAAGTAGCAGGATGCGGTGAATTTAATTTCTTTTAAAGTAGGAATGGATTTCTAAATGTTGCCAAGGTCTGAAAACAGAAATAAAATCTTGTCAATGGGAAACTAGTTGTAAAAAATACTTGTATATGCTGATGATACAATTAGGTATAGTGACCTGAGCTCCCATTGTGGATTTATCTTTTGTTAATGAATTATGACTAAGTGTGATCTCTGTGGTTAAATAATGACAAAGCCTTGTTGATACAGCATTTTTTTGTAAATTTAAAGACTAGCACTGATCAATGATGTGCTTCTTTTTCACAATCATTTAATGCAGAGAAAACAAAAATGTGGTTTCTCCAAAAACTCCAATTCAATGTTCATATTTCTAACAATGGTAGATTACCAGGTGTTTAATTAAATAAACATCCTGATTGAACATTAGGATGTCCACGCTACTTAAACTAGCGTGAACTAGTTTATGTAGTATTACCTAGTATTACCAGGCCTTACTAGATGTTTTACAACTAGTTTCCCATTGACAAGAATTTTATTTCTGTTATCAGTCCTTGGCAACATTTAGAAATCCATTCCTACTTTAAAAGAAATTAAATTCAACGCATCCTGCTACATCACGCATTGCAATGTCAGCATTATGAATTCTTTAATGAATCTTTCATGACTGTTTAATACGACTGTTTGTAAGTCTAGCGGAAAATAATTTCCATTTGTATTTAAGGCAGTAAAAATGATTAATGGCTATTTTGTTGTGGTCATTCTACCTATTACTCAAATTATACATAAGAAACTTTGCATACATTTCAAATATGCAAAATTCATGTGGGAACTATAAATGTACCTTTGGATGTAATGATCATTAATGTACTGGTTTTCTTTGATGTCTGACCGGCCAATTTAGACTTGTAATTTTTTTTAATTCTACGATCTACTACATAAACAAGTTATGCACATAACACTAAGGAATTACGTGCAGGTTCATTTAATTTCTTTTTTGTAGATTGTTGTGGTACTATTAGCCTTTATTGAACAATAAATAGACAGGAAGTTGGGTGGAGCGAGAGGAGGAAGACATGCAGCAAATGACCCAAGACTGGTAATCAAAACTGGAACAACCACATTAAGGACTATAGTCTCTAGACAACAAACTGAGCCACACAGAGCCCCAAAACAAAGGAATTTCAAAATATTTTTCAAGTTGTGATTAAAATGCATCCCTCTAATGTTTGACTTCCAAAGGACAACATTCACAAGCATATATTGATGAATGTTTCAGGTCAGCCAGTCTTCTTACTTTTATCCAAGGATAACACACTGCAAATTGGACTTGTTTAACCTTAGCTTAAGCAAAGACATTGAAAGTCGGGCTTGTTACGCCCATCTGAGCAACCCTAAACATTACATTCAGAAATCAATAAACCTCTTTTGACATTTCAACCACAGTTCACATTGTTTGGACTGGAGATGGGGGCATCTTTAGTAAAAGTGGGCATTTTTTATTTTCATAAACCAGAAAAAAGAATGGGATTTTTAAACGTTTTACCTGCCAAACACTGACCACAGATTACCAGGAAAACTAGCTACATTTAAGCATCTAAATGCAGGTGAGATGACTCGTTGAAGTTCAAACAAGTTCGAACTGAGCCTTTGAATGGAGAAGAAACTGCATTTCAACTTAGCATGGATGTTGCCAAGAGACGCCGTTGTTGAAGCATTTCATAAAAGACTGAGATTTTTCTTCACAACCATTTCCAAGGTTCAAAGAGAATTATGAGAACAGAGAAAATACTTTGTTGACGTCAGAGGTTAGCAGATATTGAGCAGACCGGTTCAAGTTTATAGAAAGGCAACAGTTGCTCAGATAACCTCCTCCAACAAACAAGGTTTGCCGAAAACTGTCTCTTAAGGCACAACCCACCACAGCATGAACTGGCTACAGCAGCAGATGACCACACCACTCCTGTCCGCTAAAAGTAGGAATCTGAGGATAATCAGGCACAGTCACCAAAATTGGATAATTACAGATTGAAAAGATGCTGCCTGGCCTGATCAGTCTTGCATTTAGTTGTAAATTTCAGATGACCGATTCAAATTTTACATGAGCAATTTCACATGATTTAACCCACCTCAAATCAATGCTTTAAGATTACGCTTGTAATGGTGCGAAATATATTTTCCTAACCCCTTCGAACCGACTGAGTTGTTTCACAGCCACAACCAGCCTGATAATTGTTCTGACATGTTAAAAAATAAATAAATGTGGCAGCCCGGCCAAGCTGTTGATCAGATTGTGTGTGGTGTCGTGTCAAATGCAACTTACATCATTAAAAAGCAGGACTGACACACAATGGAATGATAAAGGTAAAAAAAGTAAGGGAAATATAAGAACTTATAACCTTTTATTTTGTAGACTAGGGACAAACAAAATTATTAGTACATCTCTACATTTTAAACTAATCTACAAACCTGTAATAAAACCCTCTTCTGCTACCTCAAGACTTAATATTGGGATTTGACCTGTACATTTTGAGAACCTGCTTTTTAATGAAAACAGTTGTTTTTTTTTTTTGGATGTGAAGCAAACTGAGTAAACAGTCGGCTGGTTAGACCTTAGGTGACAGGGCAGCTTCAGGCCTGCTGACTCCACAATCTGTGAGCCACCAGTCCATCATAACCACTCCCCTTCGCAACACACACACACACACACACACACGCACGCACACCGTGTCACAACCCACAACAACAATACATGACAACTCAAAGTCCAGGACTGAGTAAGACAACCAAGCCAACTGGGTGAATTGAATTCATCCTCTTTTGGTAATAATGAAACATAATGACAATATAGTGACTAATAAGTCACATAGTTTAAGATAAATGAAAGTTTCTCTAGAAGTATTTTGTTTGATATAAAAACAGAGATTGGAAAATGCAATAAATCTATGAGCAATAAGGATCCAAAACTGAATATTTATTCTACGACCATTCTCTGAGGTAAATATTTATCTTCCAGTTTCCTCTTCCAATATTTAACTTGTATACAAGAACAGAAACTACCAAATAGATTCATAAAGTTGAACCACTTCAACTTTCCGGGCTGTGCCTTTAAATCTGCTGTCATATATAGTCTTATAGTAACTCACCTCTGCCAATAATTGAAGCAGTCCATAACAAGTCGCAAGCCGGCTGAAAATCTCATGCCAACCGGGCCAGCGTGCTGGTTTTCACACGGTCCGCGCAGTAAACACTCACATGCATGCACCCGCACGCGCCACTGTCATCTGCACGTTGTGTATTCCCCCCTCTCTTCTCTGTGAGATTACCCGTGTGTGTGTCATCTGCATCTAATGACAGCTGACTAACTACATGCCACAAATCCTCTCTGCTCCCTGTCCCCTCCCCCTGCCTCTCTCTCTCTCTCTCTCTCTCTCCACCGCACACACATGCACACGCAAACTTCTCTCTGTCTCCTCCCACCACACACACATACACACTCCTCCCTCCTATTAGCTGATGTCCAGAAAAAAAACCTGTCTCTCCCTTATCTCTCACCGCCTTTCTAGGTACAAAAGAATTTGCATGACCTGTTGGTTTTTTTTGTTTTGGTGTATCGTTCCATGGATGGTTTTCATTTTACAATGCAATTGTCCTGGACCTACTTTTTTGTAAAACTACCTTTAACTAGTGGAAGCAAATATCAAAGCCGGTGAAAGCAGAAGAACACACTCCTGATTTGCATCCGGCACCTTCATAATAAACCTCATCGCTGCTTTGATAATAAGCTCTAGACTAACTGACAGGGCAGAACACTAAAGAGTTGAGCGGTAGAGAAAGACATAGTGATGAAGGCACTTCAGCGAACAACTGCAGCTTCCCACATAAACAGGACTACACACACACACACACACGCACGCACATACTCACACACACAAATACTGTCAGCCTAACTGCCTCCCTCACATCTTTCTCAGCTTTCACTTTCTATGTTGTCATGTCAGGGTGTTCCTGTTTGCTTCAGTAGCTTGTTGCGCGCTCCGGAAATTTCTACTTTCGAAGCTTGGCTCTATAAACTCCAGTATGAGTCCTCATAAGTTAGTCTCCCCATTCAGGAAATCATGTTATACACTTGAGATAACACATTTATGGTCACCCACCGCTGAGCTCTGTTAGGCTGCTCAATTGAAATTTAATGAAGAGACTAGACATAATTTGCAGCAAAGAGCGGTTGATAAAGTAAGTGTACTGAGAAATGGTCTGGAGAGCAAGTGAAGAATTTAAACTCAGATCTGCCACCACATCAGCTAACGCACTATATCTAAGTGCTAAGATGAACTAACAAGTTCTGATCAGTGGCCAAAAGGGTGGAAACTAAAACTCACACTGTTTTTAGATAAGTAAACAGTGTGTCAAAATATCCTGCTAACTGTAACACTCTTCAGTGTGGAAGTTGTAATAGAGCAAAGGTGATATAACATCACAAAGGTTGATGTTATAAATTATTTATTTAGTATGATTATTTTAAAATATAGGTAACAAATGAGACACAAAGCAAATAAGAAAAAAACAGGCAGATAACAAAAGCACACGACCTCTTCCACAAAGCATCCTGGTAAGCATCCACTTTGGAAGATTAGTCTGTCCTCTCTGTAACATACAAAGCATATAATTTAATATAAAGGTCCAGAGTGTCAGTTTATCGTGTAAATATGGAGATTAAATTACACCTTGGAGGATTCAAGTGGCATCAGAAGAGAAATTTTTGAACTGGCTTTTATTTTAGGGTTTCAGACAAAAAGAGGTTGGATAAAAACACATGCAACACAATTCACACTTTGATACATTGACATTTGTAGTTGTAATGTGACAAAATATGACTGAACGAAAGAAAGGTACAAATACTTTGGAAGGTTAATGTTTTATAACAATAAATAACGTCTCTTTAGTAACATTATTTTTTGTTACCGACTGCAAAAAATGACATATTTTTGATAACAATATATGTTAACTCTGAAAGGACTTGACCTGCTGTTTAGTCAAAGTTTGGCCACAAAGACACTGATACTAAAGCAACCATTCAATCTGAGGACACAACCTGTTTGACTAGCAACACCCAGGTAGCATTCACCACAAGGCCAACCGGTGGGTCAAAACCCGTCAGGCAGCAGCAGGTGGACCCAGACAAAACCAGCAGGACGTTTTACCTGTTTGGATGAATCATATGAAAGGCGGTAAAATAAATACCTTTGAAACAGTAAATGCAGTAAAATCAAATGTTTCCAAATATTCCTAGAATCTCAGGATAAAAAAGGTGTTTAACTGCTTGTGATCCACTGACCACGCCTGGGATCACATGTGTGACTTGGCACTTCATAAATACTATGTAGGGCTTTCATAATGAAATAGTTGGGCTGAATGTCACCCAAATCATCCCCCACTGGTAATTCTGGAAATCTCACGCCAGCCAGCAGCAACAAGAAAACCTGGAGCTTTTCCCAGATAATGACAGCAGCCTGAGAGGACGAGCCCAAGCGCTTTCAGGCATTTTTCACACCACGAGTTTGACCTGGACCAGTGTGGTGCTGGGCCAGGTTCACAGAGTTCCCACTGGTTACGGGGTTCACATTTGAGAAAAAAAAGATGTCTCCTTTTTATTTGAACAGCTGATCCTGAAGGAAAACCCGCTTGAATCTGACTTTAATCGGCATACTTTTGCCATTCTTCTGTTTTCAAGAAACACAGAGCTGTGTTGTGACTGATGAGTCGGGGATCGGGTGTCACATTGCAGTTCCAGTAACAAAAACACCAGAGAGCCTACCTGCTTTCCCTCACCCTGAATAATCTGGATGTTGAACCTCACCTTTTCAGAAAATATTACAAGCTTCTCTGATGAATCACTTCCTGTCCTCAACCTCATTTAAACAAACTGAGCGATTACAATTAAAAGTGTCCAGTGTATTTGCATTTAGCCCCCATTACTCTGATACCCTGAAGTAAAATCCAATGCAATCTTTATTAGTCCATAAAAGGAATCCTCATCTGATTTCAGGGCTGAACAGTAGAAGGTAGAAGGTTTTGGGTTCGCCTCCCGGCCCGGGGTCTTTCTGCATGGAGCTTGCATGTTTTTCCTGTGTATGCGTACATGCATCTCTCCGGGTACATCGGCTTTCTCTCATAGTCCAAAAACATGACGTGTGTGTGCATGGTTGTTTGTCATGTCTGTCTCTGTGTTGCTCTGCGACAGACTGGTGACCTATCCAGGATGACCCCGCCTCTCGCCCCAAATGTTCATTGGAGAGGCACCAGCATCCCTGCCGACCCCACAAGAGACAACACGGCAATTTTCACACTAGGATGAGATGGTTTTACAGGTGCATTAACATTAGTGTATCCTGTAAAGTTGCAATGGGAACTCTTATAAAATAATTAGAGGCAGGCTTGGAGGAAATCCCATTTGGTCATAATTGGACCGCAGCAAGCATGAGGAAGAAGGTGCTCTGCTTAGATAAGAGAGAAACTTAACATTTCTCCTGCACACAAAGTTTCATGTGACAGAAAACTGAAACTGTGCAACATCCCAGTGGTAAAACATGGTGATGGGGAAGCTTTTCCTATGAAATACATAGGAACGATGGAAATACAGGACAAAAATGAACAAAATCTTATGAGAGGCAACAAAAAGTTAAAATACACAGAGGTTCAAAGATCCAATTAATGACCAGACTTAAATTTTATTAATATGTATCAAGGCTTGAAACTTTCAACTTTGGATTTATGTACTACTACTGTGCATTGGTGTACCATAGATCCCAATTAAATACTTTGGTGTTTTAGTTTATAACACAACAAAATGTAAACCAGTTCAAGGGGTATGAAAACTTTTTAAAACTTGATCAGTTAAGTTTTTTGATCAAATTCATGCAACGCATCTTAACCAAGTCTTATGACCTCTTAGTGTTCAGTTTAATATTTGGGCCAGTGTGAAAGAGGGGGAGGGGTTAGTGTAACCAAAAAACACCAAATGAAAAAGCAGCAAAAAGAAGAAGTTGTTTTTTTGGTTGGCGTCCAAAGACAAAGCATCTGCTGCCGCCTGCTCCCAGCGCGTGCACATCTCAGGGCAGATGATAGGTCGTTGCTGCAGCCTTCACAGTCATCCTGGAGAACTCAAACCGCTGAAACTTCAGCATGCACCTGCCACTGCTGGGAGGGTTGCATGTTTTCAGAGCTCGTCAGTTAGTGTGTGTGCATCAGTGTGTGTCCGTGTAGGAGGGACTGACAGCTGATCTGTTCCCAACTGCTGTGCAAACTTCACAAATCACACACACAAGCATGAATGTCGTTCCTGTATGCACGATGACTCCATGCGCTTCAGATTGATGATTAATTTCAGGAAGAAGTTTGTGTTAACCATTGCAGACAGACAAAGGTGGATAAAAAAAAATCAACAAATGGCATAAAATGTTTAAAAGACTCGTTTAATAGTTAATGCGCTACTATAACTCACTGAAACATGCAGGAAAAATGTCATTTAAGAACATCTCTCAGTCTTCAACAACAACATTTCAAAGCAAAAGGAAGTGTGATCTTATTTATTTCCTTCTTGCGTAAATTTCTCTTTCATTTCTGCAGGGGGTTTTGATTACTAAGAAAGAAGGTTGTGTTTATACCTTCTTTGTGTCTCGGTATTAGAAAGAGTTTGTTTATTTTCCAGGAATGTACTGCTATTTTATACCAGAATCGAGTAACTCTGTTACCTACGCTTGTTATAAAATGCTGTGTACATCAAAGCCAAATTTTTACTTCGCATTATAGCCATGATGCCTGTAAATTGGATTCTGTTCCTTTAAGAACCTCCTATTCTTTCCGACACGCCCCCTTCTATATGCTGTCCACTGATGTTGTTAATTGTTCCAAGCAACACTGCAGTGTGCGTAAGCTGCTATCTGCTGCTCAGTCCCCCACACATCCCCTCCTGTGTGGGGGACTGATGCTCAAAGGTGGAGTTTTGGTTGTTGCAGTTGTTAAGGCACCCCCCAAATGGCTACAGTAGGAGATGCAAGATTATTAAGGATATTAATATTTGTACTATCTTTAACTTTGTCAAAAAAAAAATTGTTAAGATGGAATTCTTTCCCTCTTGAATAAATGGATTAAAGTTGAAAGTTTAACTTTTTTACATTTGTAAGAGTTGTATAATGTTCTAACATCCATCTGTATTGGAGACGGCAGCAAATGTTCCTGTGTCTGTTCCATCTCTGCTACCTGCAGCTTAATTCACTAAACATCCCCATGTTTCAACACAAGGCAAAGTTCATCCTGCACAGACAAAGCCACAGGTATATGCTGCAGGATGCTGTGGAGCGTTTGACTGTTAATTATTTGCATACTCGACACTGTGGTAAGAAAACTCTACGGCGCAGGCACACGCGCTGATGGGAGAGCACAAGGGAGCTGTGGAGAGTCAACGAGGGCCACGCAGAGAGACGGCCTACTTCCTGGCTGTGATTAATTTCTGTTACCAAGCAGCTCTATGGTAACACAGACATCAGTCGCTGCGCTGAGCTGCATTACAGCGCAACCACACATCAGACACGCATCAGTCCTGGTCAGAGTTACATTTACAAAAAATGCACAACACAGTGATGTGCTAATATATTCTTGCACCTTTTTTTTTTAATTGTGTCACATTATAATCACAACGTTCAGTAGCTTTTCTTATTTATATGTGATTCACCAATACAAAGTAGTGACAAGTTGAAATGTCATCCTGAACCTTTTTTGCAGTTACAGTTACAGTTAAGACGCACGTCGTCTACCAGCTTTGCACAGACTTTTTTTCTCTCCATTCTTCTTTGCAACATAATTTATGATCTTTCATATTAGATGGTGAGGGCCTCAGATTCTCTGGACTTTAACTAGGCCATTCTAACACATGAATATGCATTCATCTAAACACCTTCATTTTGACAGTAATTATATTTTGAGTTATCTTTCTGGACTGTAAAATGTAAAACACAGATCACACTGTGAACTCTATGCATCACTTTACTTTTCAGGATGAAAGTCAGAAAAATAAATTGAAGCCAAATATTTGGAAGAGTTTGTATTGGATCGGTTTTAAAAATCACAATATAATCCCTATTAGAGATTTTCTTGTTGTTTCGTCTCTTCTTTAGCTCTTGTCTCTTCTACATTAGCTCTTAGTTAATTCTCAGAGCTAATGTAGTATAGATGAGTCTCTTTTGCTGTGAGACCCATTTCATTTTTACAATTGTTCTGTTTCCTGAAATACCTTACAGCACGTGCCCTCCAGCTACAAATGAAAACAATAAACCAAGCTGCGACACATTCCACGAGTTTTTCACATTATCTGGGGGACAGGAAAGTTCTGTGCTGACTCATTCATCTAAATAAAAAACTACACACAAAAACAAAACTTTCATCTTTAAAAAACGTCAAACTAAAAAAAAAAAAAAAGGCTCACAGTAGCAAACAGCGGCATTACAATCTGGCTTGAATGAATTTTGCCTATTGTGTGGATAACCCATCTCACTGGGGAACATCTGAATGAGCTCTGGCCAGCGGCAGTGTTTGCTCTGCAAAAGCTTGTTATGCCATTAGCTTGTGACATCCAACTGCAGGCCTGTGCAGTCACTCGCTCCCTCCACCTCTGCTCTGCTGTCATAGTGCTGGAGAATTACAGCCGCCGTCAGATCCAGCTAACCAAATTAGCACTTGTTATGCAACCTGCTGCACTTGGCTCCCTGGTCTGGAGCGTAATCCTGCACAGCTCTAAGTACGGCGGTCTGCACGTAGAAGGCTCCTGCAGATTGTAAAAAGAGAACTGTTCACGTCCCGTAAGCAAAGCAACTTTGCTGATTTCCTAAATATTTCTTATATTTAATGAGAAAGCCAGAGTTTCAACAACAAAATGTTGGAATATGAGAAATGATTGATTTTTTCTGGAAGAAAATATACTGAGGGGGAGAGATTGGCTCATTTACACTGACTCATTGTGTTCAATAGGGAGGACAATTTTTATATTGTAAAAATTCATAGAAAATTCAACAATGCAGCCAGCTTCAAATTTGCACAACAAAAAAAAAAAAAAAAAAAAAAATGCATTTTCTTCCTGTTCACACATGCTACTAAAATCCTGGATGGACTTTTAATGCCATAGTTTATCCCAAAAACTCCCTGTGCCTGCTAGATTTTAAAAAATAACACCCTTACATATCCTTATGGGGCTCTTTCTAAACTTTGCAGAGAGAATGTTGCTGATTGTGGTGTAGGAGTTAAACAGGAGGTTCTGAAAGGAGCCATGGATCGGCTCTGGGACTGAGTGAGTGCGTCTGTGCATGTGCCTGTGATGGTTAATTAGAGCACTTGGTCTCAGGAGGATCAGACATGGAAGACGACTGTCTCTGCTACGTGACAGAAAGCCAGGGGCAGCGTGCGGTCGATTAGTTAGTGGCAGCAAGAAAGGCTGGACGTAAACAAACATAGATTAGCAGACAAGCTGACACACGCCCATGGTACATTTAAATAAATGTAAAAATGAACCGGACGTGTGGAACTTCATGGACAAAGTGGACCTGGAAACACACACACACATGCTAAAATGATCTCTTTTTGTGGGGTAAGGAAGCATTTACTTGAGTGTTGGTTGATGGTTTATCAGGATTTCAGCAATTGGAGTGAGGATGTTGCTCTGTGAAGTAAAGAGGATAAGAAATAAAAGGAAAGTAATTTCTAGGAAAAGGGTAAAACATGAAATTCTGTTAAACTTGAAGATAATTTGCAGTGGCTGCAGACGTCTCTCAATCACAAGGTTGTTGATTACACAGCGGTTTGCCCAGCACCATAATCAAAGTGTCCTTGGGCGAAGCACTGCTTCCAAACTATCCCTAAAAGACCAATATGTAAAATATAATACATTTGGTGTATTTTGTTGTTGTTAAGCTAGCAGCATGTTAAAAGCATGAAGGGTTATCTGATTATTATCAATAAGCCAATAACTTTAATTGTCTATTTGTCTGACATCAGTAAATATTTGGCTAAAAAGACACAAGTTTAATGTCCACAGAACCTTTAATATTTTCTCATGTTATGACCACAAACTTCACTACATTTATGTGACAAACCAAAACAAAGTAGCTTTTCTTGGATTTTGAACCTTTTCACCAATAAAAATCTGAAAAGTGTGGTGTGCCTTTCTCTGGAACTCCAGGTAAAAGTATTTAGCACTAAAATTGTGTCCATTCCTCTCTGCAGAATAGCTTTAATTAAGCTCAATCGATTTTCCCATAAACTCTTGACTTTCCTGTTCCTGCTGAACAAAATCACTCCAACACCATGATGCTGCCACCACCATGCATCACCACTGGGATGAGACCCTGTCTTATCACCAGTGATGTCTTAGTAGGTCTTAGTAGGCCTGAAGTTGTGCCATACTCTCTCCAACTTTAAAATGATGAACTGAATAGGGCTCAGTGAGACATTAGCCATATAGTTTTGTAACTTCACTGTCTGCAATGATGCTGTTTGCATAGGCAGCCCGTCCTCAGCCCTTCCTCCTTCTGTCTGCCTGTCTGTCATTGGCCAGGACGTCACTTGATCTCTCACGTGGTTCAGTTGATTCAAGCCACTAAGGATCCCTCCTTGGGCAAGCTGCCAACCTGAAGTTAAGATCTTGATCTGGAGTACATTCCTGCACTCTTCCAGCGGGACGACAGGTTGATTTTTAGAATAGACAAACACTTTTCTAAACCACATGCTTCAAGGGTGAAATTACTACCCTGGCAGTGAAAGTAAGGTTAATTATACCTAAAGCATTTGGGAAACACAATTATGTCACATCCAGTGGATCCCTGAACAACAACAAACAGTGGAAGAGTTTTTTTTTCACCTTGTGGAACAGTCAAAGTTCACACTTGCTCCAAATTTCTAACAAGGGAACAAAGCATCTGAAGAATCAGATATCCTCCAAGGCAGGAGGCTAAACGCCAAGAGGCTCTGGAAACCTGCTATACTTGTTGTAATCCTTTACAAAGTTCAGAGCAAATAGGCCTTAAAAAGAGCCTGAAAAACTAAATCAAGAGTCCAGCCCTCAAAGATAACACAACCAGACGAGTCAGATGGCACCTGTCACGTAGGCAAACTGACAGGTTTCTCACATGAACATACCAGCGCAACAGCAAACACAGGCGCATTCTTGTTCCTCCGCTGACAGAGCGAAACCTCAGAGTTAAACAATAAGTCAGAACCTGCACTTAATTTCTAGTCTGTAATGACCCGAATAACACGTTTGGCCGGTGTCACGATCCTCCTCAGATGCCATGATCCAAGAATGCATTCAAGTACAATGTGATAGAAGGGATTCTGAGAGGAAGAATGTCACTGGGAAAATACCGGAAAATACTCTCTGCGGAGCAAATGATTTATGTGTTGGTATGTCAATTGCCTTCGAAGAGCTTTAACCAGCCACCACAAAAAATGCAAAACATGCAGTCGTATATCAATAAAAAATGTGTTTTTAAGACATGACATCCGTGTCGGATTGTGAATTCTGTACAGAGTGGATGGGGCTTCTCAGCAACACCAGAAGACCTGTGCAGAAATCTGTCACTTCTTATTAAAGAGGATGAAGTCTTTATTGGTTATATTAAAATAAACATATTGGGTCAGCAGTCCAGAGATTCCTTCTGCACAGTGTCATTATTCATTTACATAGATTATTGAAAAAAAAAGACATATAAAGTAAAATAACAAAAATACCTGACACTAAATTAAATTTTGTATTAATGCTTTCTAGCAACTTCCTAACAAATCTCTATAAACATCACTTTCTTATTTACAGGAACACCGGATATGTACTTTCAAAATAAGTGCAGAGTAAGTGATAATTAATATTAAGATACTTGCTGCATAAAAATTTACAAGTATTTATGAAAATAATTCATAAAAATGCTGAATTTATTGAAGAAGGTCAAACCACAGCACAGGACTTTGACTAAGCCTCTCCAAAATACTCAGTTAATTTTATTTTATTTTATTGATGTACTTGTTTACTTTGAGCTATTCAGATGTAAACTTGCTGGTGTCGTCTGGAGAACTGTTCAGCGGCACAAATTTATGTCTAGACATTTTCTTTTAAGATATCCTGGCATAGCCAGCAGAATTTATTGTTCTAAATTATATGCAGACCTAGAGAAGCAAATAGGATGCAGACTATAAAACTAATAGCACCAGATTTGCTATGATGTTGTTTTTCCAAATTTAGTTTTAATTCTATGCCAATTGTAATTGGAAGCACACCTCCCAAAATGTTCCACTATGGTAACTTGTCACGCTGCCGTTTTTCCAGAAGTCCTGGGAATCAACATGTTTTTTGGCAAATGTGAAAAGCTTGCCTCAACCTTAGCACCATCCCGAATCTATGATTTTTTCCCCAAGAGTTAGAGGAGAGATCCCAGAAAAAAACCAGCGCTGATTATCTGTGGCACTATTGTACCAAGTCTCACTGATGCAGCTATTCATGCAAAAAGAGCCTGAACTAAATACTGAACTCAGTGTAGAAAAACTTGTCAGAATGCAGAAATGTATTTATTAAAAATAGTTTTGGGAACTTTTCGGGGGTACAGAATGATGGTGTTTCACTGTAAGTCACAAATTCACCTTTAAAATATATAAATGTGTGAATAATGTCTCAACAAAAAACTAAATTAATTTCCTGAATTGAATTACTGGAAAAAAATAATAATTTCTGTTCAAACCAATCAAAGTGAAACCGTAAAATTTTAGGGATCAGAACCATTTCGCGTTTTATTTTGAAACCCCAAACCGGAAGTCGTGAGCTGCGCTGATTCGACTTGACGGTCGAGATGTTTGAGGAAGTCCTAGATAAACGAACCTGTCACGGAATAACTTGAGATGTCAGCTGTAAACCTGAGCGTCTCAGTCCCGTTTCATCCACGTTGAACTCAAACAAGTTCAGTTTGTTGGAGATTTAATCCAACTTGAATGAATTACAGGAGGAAGAGCGACGCTTATAAATAAAACCGAGAGAAATAACGTTTCTCCCGGTCAGAAACGTTATTTCCCGGAGGCTGCTGTTATTCCCATGTCAAATCTTTATTATCGCACCATAAATGTAATTTCTTCACCGTCGCGCCAGATAAATTCAGCCCAAAGTAGGTTAACCTTGATGTTAACTGACAGACACTTTGCACAGCCCCTCCGCCGCTACCGGGGGCGGGACTGGAGCGCCACTGGGGGGGTCGAGCACAGACTTACCTGGGAGTTGAGGCGCCATGGGCGGCTGGAGAGCCGGGACTTCGTCGGTGCTGCGACGGTCAGCGGGACGGAGCGGCAGGAGCGTCCAGAACCGGAGCCGCCATGTTCATCTGGCTCAGAGGCTCTTCGGCTGTTTATCTTTACTAGTGGACCCCCTCCTCCTCCTCCTCTTCCTCCTCCTCTTCCTCCTGCTGCACCTCCACCTCCTCTCCTCCCAACACCACCAGCTCAGCCGCTTCTCTGCATCCAAACTTTCAAACGGAACTTGAGAAGGAAAAGTCTTCGTGTCTGATGAGAGCATTGGCTGTTTTGAATATTATGTCATTTACAGCATTAACGTTGGAGATAAAACAACCCATTTAAGAGTATTTCCTCAAAGTCAAAGCTAAAATCAGTCTTCAAGGAACGCTTTAAGGATTATAGTCTAATTCCTTTATGACTGATGTAACCCTACAAGTGACCTTTGAGGTCATTCCCTCAAGTTTCCTGAAGTTCAAACTGGGGATTGCAACCAATATTCTGAATAATAGAGTAAATGACATTCAGAACGTCATCCTGAATATAATAGTTAAGCATTAGGGTAGAGAGTACAAACTTTTTGCCACAATCCCAAAGTTGAAAGTACTTTGGGGGTCACTCTGCTTCTCCAAAACAAAATAATTTTTTTTTTCCTGAAAATTTTAATGAAACAAAGTGGCATTTTCTTTATCTTAATAAGACAGAGAGTTTCCTAAATGTTGACGTATATTTGGTCTAAAAATCATTTAGTCCATTTCTAGCAACAAAAATGAGAGGTTTCTTCAAAACCCTTCTAGGAACAATTCCTGCAGATTCTGTAACTTATAAAGCAGACTACATACAAGGAACCTATGGGGAATGCTTCCTGAAATTCCTTAAGCGTAACACTAAGAAGTGAAAACTTCCAAGGTGTTTATCTGCCATAGTTGGGAAATAAACACAGGAACATCATCTTGTTAAATCAAGAAAGTTTGTTGTTGCAACCAAACTTAAGGAAAACATCACTTAGGAAAGGTACCCAGAAGGTCTCACCATGCATATGACAACCTAGATCTTTTTAAACTTTGAGAAACATTTAATTAAGAATGATCTAAAGTCAAATTGAAAGTGGAGACCAACCTACCCTACAATTGTGGCAACCAACTTGTGGGCTTTTAAGGAACCTCTCAACTTCCCTAAAAGTCACTGAAAAGTGGCAGTCAACCTTCAGGAAAAAAAAAAACACTGAATGTCTCAACTGACAACTTGAGAAAGTTTCCTTAAGGTCAAACAGTCTTCAGGGAACAATCACTCAGTTTCCTTCAAGCCAATATAACTTGAGGAAGCTATTAGGAAACCGTTGTTGGAGGAAGGTATGTTGGAACAGTCCTGCATGTCGCAAAGTTTCTACAAGGCCACACTCTGAACATTATAAGTAATTATCAGAAAACCATTAGGCATATCAGGAAACATACATTATGTTTTAATCTTCAATTAGCTTTCAGGGAACCTCCCAATAAGTTCCCTGAAAGTTGGACAGTGAAAGTTGGAACCAAGAGTCAGGAAAATCGTTAAATTCTGTAACCTGGTATCCAAATGCAAATCGACCTGCGTGTTCTCCATGTTTCTGTCGTTAAAGTCTTTCATAATGACATTTGCTAACTTTAAGTAAAATCACCAGTCAAATACTAAAAAGGTTTGTCTTCAAAACAGCAGCACTGACACAAAGTCCCCATGTAGAAAGACTGCATCAGCGCCATGAGTCAATACAGACAGACGAGATCCACAGAGTTCAAGAGGTCACCCAACAGAACCAATGAGGGAACTCTAAATAGTGATTCTTCATAATGATTTGGTTGGAATCATGTTCAGCTGTTCAAATTCCAAATGTCATATTTTATTAGAATTAAATTAGTTACACATTAGTTTAACAATGAAAAATAGATGAACTCACATAACACATGCATTAAAGACAGACAATAAGTCTCAATGTGAATCTTATTTATTTACAACCTCATCAAGAAAAATAGAACCTTTTTACTCTATTTCATATTACTGGATTCTTATTTTTTCAAATATAACAATTGACAGATCAGGTTATTAAGCAGATGCTGCCACCTAGTGGTAACCTGGATATGAGTTCACCTTTTTTCATACAGACGTCACAAAGTCCAGAACAAGTTTCAAGAGGAAGAAATCTACCAAATTAAGGAGAGAAATTGTTGATGTAAAAACAAGTGTAGAAAATATGTATGATGAAAATAATATTGAAGAAGCTTGGAAAATTCAAGCAGACAGGAGGTCATTCTGTAGATTTCTAAGTCAAGGTTGTAAATGACCGTTTGATTCATTTTAAATCTGTGATGCAAGCAACAGCTCGGTCCATACAAGTTGTGTACCCCTTTAAAAAAAACTTGTAAAGGAACATGTTAAAAAAAATGCAATTTTTTCTATTCACATGCTTTCAATTACATGCATCACTTTGTAATGTGATCACTTGGTTTCAAAAAGGATTCTCAGACGTCGTCTGGATGGACTTTCATCACTCAGGTTGCAAGTTGCTTTTATATTATTTCATCTCAGTTTGGCTGGATATCATAGATTACTTCTCCATTTGCTGCTCGTAGAAGAGTGATCCACTGGAGGGGGACATGTTTGGATTAACCCAGAATGAGAACTGAAGTGGTTCATGAATTGTTGCATTAGCTATTGCAGCAGAGGAAGTGATAAATACCTAAAGTGATCTTGCCTTCCTTCTCCAGTTTCTTGAGGTGATGAACCAGGTTGACATTAGCTGCTTGGTGCAGGTTTTCAGGGGTGTCCTGGAGAAAAACAGGCACAAAGGTTAAATGTAATGTTTCTTTGAACACAATGCAGATTTGGCCATTTATGTTCAGTTAACCTTCACTAACAAGACAAATTCATCAGAAAATATTTCCAACTTTGTAAAATACAGTGTAAAAATTAAAAGGAGGATATTGAGTAATTTTTAAAAATAATGCACATTAACTTGAAAGCCTTTGCTGAATTGAGTGAAAGTCTGTTTATCAAAATAAATGATACATACATGGTAGGAATGACCCTATGACACCTGTAACATGTTGAAATATTCAGGGAGGAGTAGGTAATTTTCATTTTAAAGTTTGTAATAAAAACAATTGGATCACTTACACTTTTTTGTTTTTAAATAGTTCCTTACCAACTCTGGTTCTGCAAAACTGTGAGGTTTTTTAATCGACAAATCTAACTTAGAAAAGCAGACCATGTGTGTTTATTTATGGTTGAAGCTCCACAGTAAAGACATTAGCACCACTCACACCTGTGTGCTTTCAAGAGCTTAAAATAAAAAGCTTCAAAGAGACCAAGCATTCTTCCTGACCTTATAGACGATTTTTACAAGCTCCATTGAAGAAAAAGGCTTTCCTGCTCCATCCTGAACAGCTTCCAGGATCTGTTGTTCTCTTTGGTCTCGGTGGTTGATGTAGTGTTTGATCTTGGCGCCAGCATCCTGAACCACAGGTCCATGTCCTGCGCAGGAACATGAGGAAAACAGTGCTATCTACACTGCCACCACCCAGCGGAGCAGTGAAAAACTCGGTGTTCTTGGCTCTCAGCATTTCAGTATAGACACATTGCATGTTATTGTTTACATATGGAGGTTTCAGGCCTGGACACGGCGCTGGAGACCAAAAAGACCATTTCTTTTACTTCCCATCTATAGCCGCGCAGCCGAGGTCGAACAACGTCATTAATTAAATGAAACCTGGAGATGTAGGTATTATCAATGTAGTGCAGTGCGCCAAAAAAACAAAAAATAAATAAAAAATAAAAAATCAGAACAACTCAAAACCACTCATTCTTTTTTTTCTTGCTCTCTGTGTCGGTTATGCGACACACAGATCCCAAAACTGACCTACTTCTCTCTTTCTTGCTATTTCTTGGATTAAAACTTCTTCCTGATCTTGTTATCTATTTGTCAGTGTTCACAATTAGTAGAAAAGCACTGCATCCCTTTTTTTCTTTTACGTAGTATGCATACATTTAAGATTTAACATGTTATGTGAACAACTTAACAGCGAAAACCAATGCTTGTCATCGTTGGTGAGCAGCTTTTTGCCCCGCAGAGGGAGAGGCGGGGCGGGATCAAGCATCTGCGACATCACATTGCAACGTGTCCAAGGAATAATTTCCATGTATAAACATGTCGCCAAAGCTAAATTTTCTATTCACCGGGGTAAATGAGGTCAGCCTGTGTGTCCAGCAGGATCTTCAGAGACTTCATGTAGTCGTAGAGATCCTCGAACACGGCCGTACCCTCGCCCAGGATGCAGTCTCCGGAGAAGACAGCCCGCTCCTCCTCCAGCACCAGAGCCATGTGGTCGTCAGTGTGGCCTGGGGTGAAAAGCACTCTGAAATGTGGAAATTTGGCTCAGATATAACTGACCTCCCATTCAAACACGTTTCACCTTTAGAAGTTGTAACTTATGTTCCCAGTGAAAGTGAACTGACTTGAGGGTGGCTCCTTCAGTCTGGATAACATCTCCATCTTTTAGGTAAGAATACGTCTTGCTTCCAGCCATTTCTGTGACCCGGCTGGCCCGTGGGAGTTTGCTGACCTTAACGTCAGATCCTGCAGGATAGAAAAACTGTTTTCATTCATTTCATCCCCTTCAGTGAGCAATCATGCAGGAACACACAATGATTAAAACCAGAATCAAACAGCCCAGCCCTATCTGAACCCACAGAAACAAACCAAACCTGTTATATCTCTGCAGATGTCTTCCACTCCGCCCGTGTGGTCGTGATGCCAGTGAGTGACGATGATCTCCTGGATGCTGGTGCTGAATTGTCCCAAAGCAGTTTTCAGGTTGCCGATGTATTCAGGAATAGCAGGTTCTCCAGTGTCTATAAGCACACGTCTGAAACCAAAATCAGAAAGAAATTCAAAGTTTTGTTGTTTGATTGAAGTTCAGCAAATAACTGTTAGTGAATAGTGACATATTGAAATGTTACAGACCATCTCAAGATATTGCATAAAAGAAACAGTTGATGTAAAATTATCATTTCTGACCAGCTTGCCGACATCATGATGCAGCCACTGCTGTGTCACTGTGAGAATGCTGGTTAGTTTTCTATTAGACAGCATTTTGCTGGGCATTCTTTGCATCACTGCTCCATGAAGGTCAGATTTGTCGAGTGCATGATTTCCTACCTGATCCTTCAGAGTTAGTCTGGACCACTTGGCTGTTTTTATGAATAACCATGTCCCCAGAATACGACTTCTGCAGAAATTTTAATGTGATTTAGGTGCACCGTAGGGAGGTAAAAGCTGACGTAATCATAATGCACTCGTTCTCATACTAATTATACACATTTTCTGTATTTTTGAGCAAGTGTTGCTTAAATTTAGGATTTTTTCCCCGCTGAATTTGGTTGAAAGCGGCATAAAATAGGAACATGCAGTCTTCCTCAGACTTCATAACGGTTATTTCTACATAAAACAACGATAAAAGCCCAAATGCACGAACTAACGTGTCGACAGCAGTCACCTTTGCCCGGTTCCGACCAGGTAGGTGTTGGTTCCCTGCAGCGTCATCGGGCCCGGGTTGCAGCCCAGAACCCGAACAACTCTGGCAGAAAGCTGCTCTATCCGAGGAATGATGGCGCTCATCGCCACGACGCTTCCCCTGCAGCAAAAACCCAATTCAACAGCTAAAAGTTCAGAAAAGAACCTTTAATGCGTCGCAAACAGGAAACGCACGTGTTTACTTCCGGTGGATGTGCCTGCTTCAAAATAAAATGTTTGGTTTGAATATATTTGTTTTTTTAAACAATGAAAAATAAACATTGCTAAAGTAATGTTATAATTTACATATATATTTTAAAAAGTATATGCTCCAAAATGAAATGGAAATATGAAATTATACTTTGTTTAGGGCTCTACGTGTCCAAATATGAAACGTTTTAATTGTATTTTCAATGCGTTCCAATTAGTCAATACATTTTTCAAATATTTTAAATAAAAATGTAAAAATGTATTGATATCTATTTTGCACTGTCTATTTTACTTTGAAACCTATTTTACTTTGAAACCTTTACAGAAAACAAGCAACAGGTTTTGGGACTTAGATTATACTCCAAGAGCAAGTCTAATTTAAAAATGTAAAATGAGTTAAATTCACTGATCTAGTCGTTTGAGTTCAATGTCTTGTTTTGGCATTTTTATCAAACCACTTATAAAAAGTCAGGTCATGTTAAACTGTGGGACTTCCGGTCCTCTTCCTGCTGCGTGAACCATATTTACACCTTCACAATGTTGGATCGTTTTTATAATACTAATTGACTATTACAAAAAAATGTCGTTCTGCATTGTGTAATTTTTATTTTCGTTTGGGGTTTTTTCCCTGATTTTTGCATAATTATATTTTTACAGTCGCTGTTTCTGGCCGGAGATGTGAAAGCTTTGCATTTAGTACAGCAAAAAAAGCTCTAGGTGGCGCCACAGAACAATTTATACAATTTGTTTGCCTCCCTATAATTTTATTTTTATGTGATAAAGATGTTTTTTTAATGACACGTTGGTTCAAAGCAGATGTTTTGTAATTGTCACACATTTAAAATAGTGATATAAATAGATCTTGAATGAGTTTAACGACGATGACGTTTCCAAAGCTCTCAAAGTTTAAGTTATAAAACTTTATGCCTGGATGCCTGTAATTACTATTCTTCACTCCTGAAAGACAAAATAAATGTTTCTTATTGGACAGTGGTTGGTGAACCTTTTAGGCTTCTGTTTTATTTGTCAAATAATAAAGAAAATAAAAACTTTTGGATCTAAATTACTAGTGTAGTTTTTCCAGTTTATTTCAATGATACAAGCTGAAGTCTATTTGTCTCTTACGGTGAACTCATTTTTTTAGGCAGATGTTGGAATTTGGGCTTGCTGAACTTTTGTTCAGCTTTGACTCAGAGAAAGTTAGTAATCACCCAGTGACCTGCTGGATGTTTCTCCTCTCCTCACTTTGTGGTAGGCTGCTGCCATAAGGTGTCCAGTCCTGTCTAATCAAAGATTGGTGAATTATTAACAGTCCTGGGCTTTAGTCTGTATCTCAGAACATAAACACTGAAAAATATGTTTGTTTCAGTCAACAACTCTTAAAAGGGGTTTGAAGAAAAGTTTAGTCTCTGGAAAGATGCTAAAAGCAAAAGCTTAAGCATTAACAATTAAATATTTTTGTTATTGTTGGCAAATAATAAAATTGATGGCATATCAGTGCATTTGAATGCAAACTCTGGATAAAACAGTGATATTCATCTTGAGTGACAGGGTTCCAATGTTATGCTTGCAGAACTCCTGCAGTGGAGGACTGAAATAAAATACTGAGGATATTCAACCAGTGAGAAATATTTTGCATCCTCCCACCATGAAGCTCTATGTTTAGTTCAGGTCCTATCCAAAAAGTACTGCCTCCCTGACAGAGCTGGTTTCAAGGCATATATCTGACCAGCTTGTCTACTTTAGTTCTGTTTCCTGCAGTGAAAATGCAGAAGCTAGAAAAATTGTAGCAGAAAATTACTCTGGTTCCTCAAAGGTTTTTCTTGTTGAAACAAACCTAAAGCCATTTCTTGACTCTGCATTCTATGCTTTGTCTATAGATATTGTCTAGATATTGATAAATAAAGGTACAAAACAGCAAAAGAGTTAAAGTCCAGGTGTCTTACACCATCATTTTACTTCTGCCATGCTTTAGAAAGGAAGCTAATTTGAAATAGGACCTTTTGGTTATGATTTATGTAATGTTCAGGTTTTTCTTCAGCACAGCAGACAGGAACCAAGCCTGCATAACAGCAAATAAAACTCCTCTAAAAGCAAAAGCTTATGCATTATCAGTCTTGTGTTTTATTCTGCCATCACTTTAAAAAAAGACACTAAAGTAGTTTAACTCTTCTGCATGAGACAAAGACTGACCTCCTGCCTGGAAGGAGCAGTCCACCTTTCCTGGTTAAAAAAAACATCCTTAGACCTCAGGTTTGCACATATTCTGCAAGTTTCTTTGGCCAGCACATTTTATACTTTACAAGAAACCCAAGAGCCAAACTCCTGGGAAGTCATCATAGAGCCCTTCATACTGCTGCATGAATCAGAGTCCTAACCTCGCCCACTTCAAATTTCTGACTAATGGCGCAGTGGTTGTCAGAGCCCACAGCAGAGAAAAGTTCAGCCAGGATGACATGTCAAGAACAAACTGCAAGAACAGAATGGTGTCATCTTTTCTTGCCGCCCCATGAGAAAGAACATATTTCTCTCGTCTGGTGGAGAACGTATAAACCTGAAGAAGAACTGACACTCACCACGCTGTAGGTAAGAACTTGAGGAAACTTCAGAACTACATCACCAAAAGAAGGAAGAAGGAGTCACTCAAAGGTTCCTACTTATCCTCACCTGAGCCTTGACATCTTGCACATAACCACCACTAACAGGATCCAGGAGAAGTGTTCCTGATGGAGTCTGCATTGCTTTGAATGTCTTTGACTAACATGCACCAGATGCTTTTAAAGATAATAATGGAACTGCTGAAGCTTTTATTCAGCAGAATTGAGAGAACTCATCCAGCACTCACCATTTAGATACATACAAACTAATATGGGTAGTTAGAAACCCTCCTAAGCATTACTGACTGCTCTTTAGTTTAATTATCTACCATATTATACATGGAAGTCATAAGATGCTATGATTACACTCCTGCAGTGAGCAGACTTCCTCCTGGGTGTTCACGGTATTGAGATAATCATGTTCTAATGTGCTAACTGCTTTGAACATCATCCACTGATCCCTGAATGAGAACAGATAATGAACAGCAGATCCCGCTCTATCTGCTGGACTCAGATGGAGTCAGAGCAACAGCAACCCTTTGGAGAGCTTTGGGATTGTTACACTGCACTGTTCAGTCTAAACACCTGGTTGTGTGTTTTAGCATTCGAATGGCAGAATAAACTGCAGCCACAGTGAAATCCCCTCTGCCGTCTTCCCCTGTCTGTTCACACCTTCAGAGGTACAGCCAATAAAGGCAATTAGGACAGAAGCTTGTGCAGCACCAGAAGACTTCTTTGCACTGCCATTATACAAAAGCAAAGAAAGAAGGGGGGCAGTGTGGACATTGATTTGTGTAATTCTTAAGTTTCTTCTGCAGAGCAGTCTGCTGGAAGCTGAGATACTGGAACCTCTTTGCTGCTGGAGCTGTTTTGGGAAGCATTAGTGCACAAGCTTGAGGTCATCAAACAACACAGTTGGTAACACAAGCTGCATTTCCTTTACAAATGTGTGCAAATCCCTGTTGATATTCTGCCCATGTCAAAAAACACAATTTTGTGTTTAAATCAGAAATTAAACTAAAATCACACCTGAATAAGTTTGTTCATACAGTAAGTCAATAAAAATCATCGTGTGTGTCTGTAAGAATATTCTGTTGATTATTGATGGGCAAATATCTGAATCAGATGTGCTGAAGCAGGAAAATGTCAGGAAGTTGAACTCTGACAGAGGATCTGTTCTTAAGACTTAAACCAGGCAAAAGTTCAAGAACTTCTGCATAGACTGTTTACTTTGTTTAAGTTTCACTGATAATCCGCTTTGCGACATCTGATCACTTTCAAATATTGCAGATTTCATAATGGAACATTTTTGGTACTCCTGTTTTTCCATGATCAGTTTTTTTGTTCTGTATCAAGTAAGACGACTCTTTTAAGTTCTGACCCCAAATATTGGTCAATATATATAACACATAGATTTACTTATTGGTTACTTTTCTGAACTAAAAAAGTAATTGTGGGAGTTTAAGCAATGTAATGCCGTTAAATGGTCTTAGCTTTTCAACAATATCTTGATTCTTTAGGCTGATCTGTTTTTAAATGCTATCATACTTTTTGTTGATCAGTTTGTTTTTTTAAGCATCATTGTATTAGAGAACTCAAACAACTCAAGTGTGAGCTGCAGAAAAAAAATACATGAAACACTTTTTTACTTTGTTAGTCAATTGACTGCAAGAAACAAATTATTTGCAAGTAATGGGACTAAAACTTTAGTTGGGTGTATAAATTCAAGAAAAACCTCAAAGCATTTGTGTTTATTGATTAACTCTGACATATTGGCAATGCTGTGCAGTCTTAATCCAGCCTGTAAAGCTTTAGATGAGGTTAAAAAAAATGGAAGTCTTTTCTTCTCTTCTTTAAACCTATCATTAGCTAGACAATTGCTTTCTGGTTTGTGTTAATTGTCTGCCAGAGATAACTTGTGGACCGCTTTTAATTTTCTGCAACACCTCCATATGATCCAGGATGAGACTCCATCACCCAGTTGTTGTTTTCTGTTCAGGTGTTAAAACTGCTGTGAGACATATTGTTCCAACATCCATGCAAATTGACTTAATTGTATTTGATTTGATGGGAGATGGGTAAATTAGGTAGTGTTATTTGCTGGCTTTTAACTCTTAGATGCTTTTAAATGTAAGCATATAATTGATTTGCACTCCCTGTAATTTCCTGTTTAAGTTAGCAGTGCATCCCTTCCCATTACTGCTCCCATAATACAGAATTTACTCAAACTGCCAATAGAATTACTAGACACTCTTCATTCAAGTTGCCACCTAGTTTATAAGCAGAAACACAATGGATGATCTTTTAAAACAGGCTTTACATTATGTTGAAGCCATTAGAGCCTCTCCAGAGTGCATGACCAGTAATCCTACATGCATTACAC